ATAGCCCTTGGGTAAAACTTTGAAGCATGCCAGATAAACCATGTAAGCGTAACAGACTTTTAATGATAAACCATTAATGCGGAAATCGGATTCAGTTCAATAATAAATCGTTTCATGACAAACCATTACATGCAGAAGAAAACTCAGTTCAGTAGTCTCATCTATAAGTCATGGCCAGTGTTTACAAACTCTCACTGGCAAGCGTCAGTAATGGTACCAGTGTTTACAAACTTCCACTGGTAGGCGTCAGTAATAGTGCAAGTGTTTAACACACTCCCACTGGCAGGCGTCAGTAATAGTGCCAATGTTTTATCCCATTGGCAGGATGAACCAGTTCTACAGAAATACATGTCAACATGTGCTAGCGTTTACAGCTCCCACTAGCGGGCGTCAGTAATCATGACTATATCCGAGACAAAACCATGCAGGATTTCCAAAAATCCATAATTCACAATCAATCTCAAATCTCAGAAACAAACTAGAAAATTTCCATGTGACCATGGATTTAACAGAAAACTCAGAATTTGCAAACTCTCAGTTCATCAAAACAGTTCCGTCAATTCCCAAATAGGCATGCTCTATTCCAGAAAAACAATGAAATTCTCATTTTCATTTCTCAATCATCCTCATTTCTAGAAAATCAATAAAATCCTCATTTTCATTCCAATCATGCTCAATTTCGGAAAAACAAGGAAATCCTCATGAAAATCATCCAAATTTTCATTTCAGTTTAATCACCCCCAGATGCTGATGAAAATCAATTTAAAATCAATTTAAACCTTGCCACCATCTCAAAAACAGTTTAAAACATGCTTTAAAATCGAAGGGCTTTACCATAATTTACTTACCTCACTCGCACAAAACCGAGCACTCAATCTCAATGCTAACTGACAGAACGATCAGGAACCTAATCAAAACACCTCAGAATTAATACCGGACTATCACAAATTCAAACTGAAATCATCATTAAAATCACTCCTAATCCCGATGCTATTCCTATCAATCTCCACATAACCGGACATCTCCACATTCATTCTTATATCACAAACTAATCATTTAAATCCCCATTAATCGTTGACCCTCGGTGTGTGAACAGTGTTCTGTGAACAGTGTTCTGTGAACAGTACCACGACATGAACAGTACTGCCACTTCCAAACATTAGCCAAAACACTAGCTAATCACGGGGTTTTCTTTCCAAAAAATCACACAACAGTCAATTAACACTCAATTACCTAAATTCCACTTAAATCAATACTTAATTTCATCCTAAAGCTATCGGAATTCCTCCCCAATTTCAGCCAAATTCGGACATCACAGGGGCAGCCAATTAATCAAGCTAATTCTACCTTAATCAAGCTTAAAAACAATGGTTTAAGGCTACCACATACCAGAATTTACAAGCAAGGAACCGGAGCTAGCAGATTGGGGAAGGCCGGCGGGATCTGCAGGGGAAGCTCACGGAACTACCCAAAAATTGGAGGAACAAGAGCAATTAAAGTAAACCCAACCCAAATCAAGGTGAAAGAGAGGGATTCATGGCTAGATCTTACCAGAAAAAGGCCCAAACTCTCACACCCACATAGCAGCCGGCGGACAAGGGAGGAGCAGAGCAGGACCGGGATTTTTTGGGTTGAGGGAGAAGATTCTAAGCCCCAAATCTTGTGATTGAACAAGAAAGAAGGAGAATTTCAAGCCCCTTTTTCGATTTTTCAAAGGAAGAGGAAGTCGGTGGCTTTGGGGGGGGGTTTGTCGGGCTGCACAAAGAAGAAGAGCAGAGCAGAAACGTGTATGGCTGGGAAGAAAAGGAATGAAAATATCAGCTGATCCTTATCCTAATTTCCTTTCTTTTTAACCCCTCAACTTTTTAAAATTTTATGATTAAGCCCCAAAACAATATTTCCCTCATATAAGTCCCTTATTTAATGCTAAAATACCCCAAAATTTTGGGATATTACATTACTGATGAGATTTAAGTCTTGAGAAACAGTAGAAATGCAAGTAAGATATATTATTTATTATACAGACGTAACACTTATCGGTAATTGAAGTTTATTCATACGTGTTACTTGTCGGTAATTGCAGCCACCACTCCGGTCGGCGGGGGAAGGACGGAAAGGCACATCACCGACGAGAAGCATGCTTGTAAATTCAATTTTGGAACGATAGTCTCGTCGGTAATTGAGGATCAATTTCCAACGTCCATCTTCTCGGTAATTTCCACTCCCAATGCACCAGCTGGCCGCTTGCGTCAGGGAGTACAGCTTTTTGATACAATTTTCCGACATAATCCTTGTTGTAATTTGCCATTCAGCAACTCCCTGCGAATCCGATTGCTGGCCACTGGTGTTGCAGCTTTAATTTTCCCTACCAATAAGATGCAGGTCGGTAATATATACATTGCCAACTTAATGTTCATTGATGATTGGCCCGGTCAACGAGAATCCTGATGCAATGCAGAGATTATTAGCTTTAGACTGCGCAACGTTGGTTTCATCAGTAAGTTTACCTATTGCCCTACCGACCCGCCCTTCCGCCTTCATTTTGGTCTTTCTCCTTTCATTTTCACTTCCTCTTGTCCCGCGAGTTGTTCTTGCTCTCTTTCCTCCATTCTTCCCTTTGAAGCACTTTAACACATTTTTCTTCTTGCAATCTAGTAGATCAAGCAGTGGTAAGTAAAATTTAAGTAGTATTATTATTTTTTATATATTTTATGCATATTTTGTTTTTTTTTTAATTTAAACCATTAAATATTATTATTAATTAGTTCATTAGACATTAGTTAATATTATTATATTTTCTTTTAGATAAATTTGATGAATAGTTATGAATAATGTTTTTATAAATTTTTAGTGAAATTTCAACCATTAATGACAAAATTTTTATATTAAGTATTTGATATTAGCTAGCATTTTTAGATTTGTTGTTTTGATCATATTTTAGGGTGAATATATATGATTGTTGTGAGTTTTGAAGGTTTTATATGGGC